ATTAATATGCTGAGCTGTAAAAAGCTCCAAGTCCACAACTTTGGACATTGCCAGTCTTACAGAAAACCCACTACTATTATGGACTACTGGACTCTATTGGGAGATTCTGCTGAATTCAAGCACCTACAATATTTAAATGTCAATGGAATGCCCTTCTCTGACAAAGCTAACCAAAAAAGTGGGATAGAAATGAACGACCCTTTTATATATGTATACTCAAAATAGTAAGGAGAGATATACAGCTCCATGCTCTTAATTCAATGAATAGAGAGGTTTGTTATAATAGTGTTTGAAATAGGATATCATGTCTGCATCTTGTACAATGAATAACCACTAAGACAACAATATGTAATGTATTAATTACTGAAAAATGTGCCAGTAATCAGTTGTGAAACTGTCTCATTGATATTTGTTTCTCAATAAAATTATTTTTAAAGAAAGAAACAGAAAAAATGACAACAAAAGAATGAAAAAATGGATACAAAGCTTTTGTGAACCAGGAAGGAATAAGGGTTGAAGGGAGGGGAGGAGAATGGGATAAAAAGAATCAAGTTACATTATGTATAAGTACAAATTCCCTCTGATAGATGGGATCATTATGTATACCTACTGTGTACCAATAACTTAATAAAACATTAGCTGTATGTGAACATTATTAATGATAGCCTGAGCCACTTTTCTTGTTGCTGAGACAAAATACCTAACTCTCACAGTCAGAAGAGGAAAATGCTTATTTGGCTCATGGTTTGTAGGGGTTCAGTCCAGAGCCGGCTGGCTCCATGGCAGTGTGGCACAGCAGAGGGCAGCACAGAGCAAAGCAGTCACTAAGGGAAAGCACACTCACCCTCTTTCTGTCCCTTATATTTTATGCAGGCTACCCCCTTAGGGTGGGTGTGGCACTCACAGCCTTAAACCTTATCAGAACTATGACAAACCTATCAGTGGGCTGATTTAGTAGTCACACTCCCTGTATCCCAGCACCACACACTCTTGATCCAGCCACCTCTGAAAGTCCCCTCTTCCCCATGACTGCACAAGGCTTTGGGGGGCATCTAGATACATGCCATAATGACAACCAACTATAAAATCTAGGTAACTTCATTATTACTACTAATCATAATTTCATATCACAAAAATCTAGCTAACATTCCAAAAGAAAGAGACAGAATTTATCATAATGTGAATAACAGTAAATGATTGTGTTCCTCAGGGAACATACATTTTTCTGTAGCCTTTGCTTGGTCACTAGCAACATCTGCAAGTCTTATAAGCTACCCTGATGAACTTTGCTATCACTTTATAGAAATATGGCAGAGCTCTCAGAGGTACTTTTCAACATGTACTCAAACTTTATAGACATTTTTCTTTTATTTGTCAAAGAGAAAAATGACCTCAGGTAGGCTGCACATAAGGGCCGCATGGTTCAGAAATTCACAAAAGAGCAGCACACACTTGCATAATGACTTCTTCTAAAAGCAGGGAAAACCCCAGCAATACAATTCTAGACTAACTCGCTGGACTGTTAAATATAGTATTCACTTTTTAATGCTACAGCTCAAAAGTATTACAAATAATTTAGACAGGTGTTATGGCTTGCATGTAGAGGTGCCCCAAAGTCTCATGTGTTCATAAGGTGGAGCTTTTCAGAGTTGGCTGTGGCTAGCATGTGTGGTGCCAGGATCAGGGACGTGATGCTGGGATGGATTCATGGGGCGATATGAGTGTCCTACGAGTGGGTAGCCTGATAAAATACAAGGAATACTGTTAGCTACTTTGCTATTTCACCACCTTCTGTTTGTCATGACCTGCTTCTCCTCTGCGATGCCTTCTCCCCTGAAACCAGCAATTATGAACCGAAACCTCGACAAATTGAGCCAAATAAACCTTTCATCCTCTAACTTTGGGCACTGGGGATTTTTGTCTCAGCAATGAGAAAAAAGCTAAGACAATATAGAAGCTTCTACTTCAAAAATGAAGTATCTGGTTCTGAGGTGAGTATATTTACATCCTTAAATGGATTAGAGAGAGAATAATATGTCCATTCGCTGTTACAACCTTGGTCTCTATTGCCTGGCTCGAGATACA